TAAGTAATTTGGACGAATCGTTTGAAAGTTATCACGATAAGATCATATTAACGTAGCGCAGTAAGCCATTACGCGTCACGTCTACTGTACGACGACAAGGGACGATATGTGGGGGTGAAGGGGGCACGAAAACGCGACCCAAACGCGGGAAGCCGCGTAAGGGAAAACGTCGTTAATGGTTGTGTTAGTTTTGCGAATATCTTCATAGGTAACATCATTCGATTCTTTAAGCTATTCATTACTTAGTGCAGTTCGCATATTTTGCTAGGTACTATATTTCCGAAGTTAAAATATAAATTACTCGTTGTTGCCCGCTCTTATATTAGCGTACAACCGAACCTACTGAACCTAGAATCTTGAAATATGCAGGTGGTTCTTTGTATAGCGTAAATAAGCATCAAGAAAGGGTATCAGGAATTTCCACTCCCCGAAGGGGAAAAATATGGCTTGAAAAATTGTATTCATTTTATTTTGTCGGTTTTGAAGTCGGAAACCTGGATCGATTGGATCGATTGAAAAAATATTGTAACTATGTGTTCAAAATGGTTTGTCATGAAACTTAATGTGAGGAACTGAATTCTACACGAGCGAAGCCGCGGGCAACAACTGGTCGAATATGATTTGAAGTTCAATTTCAGAATAGAAATATTTTCATACTAGCTGCTGCTTGCGACGTTTGCTTGAATTTCGATTTTTGATTTGTCCAGATTTCCTAAACAGCAAAATGTTCTCATGTATCGATACATAAATAGTTCCCCCGAATGGGACAAAATGTTAAGGTCCGACAGTATTTACTTAAAAAAGTATCAGTAGTTTCCAAAAATTTGGACATAGCATCATTCATCGCCGATATGGCGCTACCAACTTTTCATCTCAGATGTAATGAAGGGTCTTGACACATTTGATAGATATTTCAATTCACCATTTGAAAAATTTTCATATTTGGAAATCGGATCAACCATTCCAGAGTAAATAGCAATTCAATATTCATTTCATGGATTCGGAAACAAAAACTCGTTCCAATTCATTCAAATAAGTGCTCAAAATATTCACCATTCATTTCCTGATAAAATTGATGAGTTCATTTACTGATTCGTTTCCTACATTATTGTTATGAAACACAGTTTGAATAAATGTTACCTAAACACCAGCTTCTCACCAGCCAGTTACCGAACCAGCTTCTCATGACGGAGAGTTGTCTTAGCTTGCTGATACGTAACGTCAGTTGGAAACTTATTTGGGTTTGTCAATTATCCAAACCAGCAAATATTCAGATATCTCTCAGAAGACCCAACCAGATCACCTTATATGACACCTCTAGATGTTTTTGGACAGATACGTGACATCTGAAATGTGTGCAATTTATTTCGAGGTTCCAGGAATACATCATAATCTAGGAGATACATTTGTTAACTCATTCCATTATTATCAGGAAGTGAGTGGTTAACATTTGGAACATTTTGAAAATTGAAACATTAAACTTCCTATATTTCTATACCACTTGTATTTGTAACTAACTTCAATTTCGTCTTATAAAGAAATTAGTTACAAATACAACTGGTATAAAAATAGGAAGTTTCATTACTCAATTTTCATTACGATGAAATAAACTGTTGTGAGTTATGGAATTGAGAAATTTAAAGTCTATTCGACCTTGTTATCTTTTCACGTTCAAAAGTAGGGGATTATTTACGTCTGCAATGACTATAAATATAGTCAGTCAAAGCTTCAGCGACATCAACTGAACAGTTTATTTTTTTCAACAAATTTTTTATGTTACTTTTCAATTTTACATAACTTTTTTTTAATACCCATTGAAATATATCAAACACCAAAAACTAAGTGAAGCTCAAAACAAAATAAATGTAAAAAATAGTATCGAATTGCTTGTGCCCTGAAATAAAAAGATTGATTTCGCAATAACATCTCGTCAAGTTAAAGTACGATCAGAGTGGATTAATTCTGAGGGAGCTTCCTTTCACTGCTTTGGAACCGTTTCTTCAAACTACTGTTATATATTTCAATTCAATCGTTTGCCACTTTTGACAATATTTTGATCATTGAATGTGATTGAATTTGTTTCAGATAAACAGATATTCATAGCAATCAATAATCATTTCATTTCTCCTTTCTTTCTGAAATTGCCGTTTGATTATTCTTTTGTGAATCACCTCATAATTTCGATTGGGAGAAGTATCACGCTTCAAACAACCAGGTATTGCCAAGAAAGAATAATGCGAAGCAGCGAATAGGCACGTAACGATAACAAAAGTATTTTACATCAAGCACGAAAACTCATTTACGAATTCCAAATCGAAATAAAACGCTACGGAAACTGATTACCGCAATTGTCTTTTCATTAGAGGAAAGTTTTTCATGCGAAACCCCTTGCGGTAGAATGTAATACAGGCTCGTTCTCCAAGAAAGCCCGTGGTTTAGCTATATAATCAATTTGGATAACAAAAGACCCCGTTTAGCAAGCCGCTGAAAACAGGAACAAGAACGAAGTAGGTTATGTGAACATCCCAGTGAACTGAGTAGACTTAATATGAGTTGGAGAAAAACGAACTTTCCTCAGCGCCGTATTTTCCAATCAATTTGTATGTTGTAGGTGAAGGATACGAGAGTACTCTAAAAGTTTTGAGTGCGTAAAGTTGAACTGATGTTTTCGGTGGAAATAAAAAGCAGCACGGGATTTTTTCATTCGGTCGATTGGAGTTTAAGTGGTCTAATTGAAAAGAGATTGCCTCTACAAACACTTCATTCGAGTAGGCTGGAAAAGTACAGAATGCGATATACTAACATTATTGAATTTCCACCAAGTAGCAGTGTGATACCGATTTATTCACTGGAATTCGTTACAGAAAGTCGAAGGGATTCAATAAATTTGTAACAATACCACTTAATGATGGCAAAAAGAAAGATTTATTGATATTACTCTACTATTATTTCATATCATATGATCTGATTTGAAGGCATATTGATATAAATAGAATTTCGAACTCTACTTTTTTAACTTGTGATGCACTGTTTTGAAACTTTAGTGTAGTAATGAATATAACTGGAGGTTTATCCCAATACCAACTCATTATTTCAACACCTCGACACGTGTTTTGATCTCTAAGTGATCTTCTTCAAGAGGAAGATCAAACTTAATATACATACAATGTTGGCCTTATTTATACCATACATACCTCTGCTAGGTACCTTCGTCCCAAATTGACTCTTATCCACTAGTTTAAAATTAATTTAACAATGTGGCTTTATCTAATAGTCAGGTAAATCTGATAATTAAAATAATATTTCAAAAAACTATATAGTATACTATTAGGTATTGGTCCACCATCGTTATTCGTTATTATTATTATGTTTACTTATCTCTACTTTACTTTTCTTTACTTTAACTTTTACTCTACTTTAACTTATCTTAAAGAACTGAAGTCTATGGAATGGTTTTATTGCAATGATAGGCGACAGCTGATTTTTATGGGCTTCCATATTTTAAGTGTAATAAGTGTTTCCAATATCTCATTTTGATAGACCTTTAGTCTGTCCGCATTAAACATCGCAGTCCTTACATTCAATTTGGTAAATTACATTACTTTTCCGAATTCTCGATTTTGTCCTATGGTTTTCCCAAAAGGCTCTGTAGTATATGACTTGTTTTGAATACCACCTTCATACCTAGTTCCTTAAAAAAATTCAAAGTTCTTCGTGTATTGGTGGTAAGGAACTGAGGTATATTTATCTTGGTTTTCGTCGTTTCTAGAAGTCGAGATTTCATTCATTGTCAACCTAAACATTTTCTTCTTTATAATATCATCTACAATACCCATCGAGAATCCGTTACTGATTGATATTTCCTGTATTGTCCGTTTTTGTTTTGTGAACCTCTCATGTGTAAGGAAAATTAAAATAACGATGAACTAGAAAATTCAGCCCAGCACGTTTGTGCTGTCCACAGTGATGTGAACTGTGAGTACTTGTTTCCTTCCTAAATACATCGTATTCTAGTTTTTCACATTAGCTCTTCATTACCAAAATGTCAATAAATGAATAAACTTCCTTATATAGCTTGTACTTCCATATATAGCTTGTTGAAATATTTCAATTATCACATTTACCTGTCTAATAGATATGACCACATTGTAAAAATTATATAAGACAATTAAGACGGGGGTACCCAGCAGAGCTGTCTATGTTATGAATAAGAACAACATTCATTTTAATCAGTTTAATCTTTCTGTTGAAGATGATCACTTAGTGATCGAAACACGTGTGGAGGTGTTGAAATAACGGTTTGTTGTTAAGATGAAACTGCAGTTATACTCCACTTTTGTATTTCTCATTCTGTCAAAAAATGCCAAGTTTTCAAGTGGGCCTAAAGTTTTAACAAACGTTTGTTGAATATTTCCAAAAATATTTGTCAGTTTCAATTGCTGAATATATAATTGGAGATGATGGTGATGAAATTTCACATATTTTATTGGTCGAACATCCGGGATGATCTTTTCATGATGAAATTCAACAGTTGACGATTCGTATTCCGTATACTCACAGTTGAAATCACCCAAAAACTGAAGATAGAGCTAATCATTCGAGCGATTTATGTTTCAGCATATCATATCTATGCAATCTTATTACACTATATTCTTAATATTTCCATAGGAGATATTATCATCTTCAGAGTAAAACTACGATATAATTACAATGATAGGACAGCTATTAGAGAACAAATTTTGGATTTTACTAGAGTGTAAATGGCTTTCACGAAAACCAAATTGAGTGTCATACTTTAAACAGAAAAAGGTTCAATATGTTCTCTTTCTGAACCTAAAAATATTGAAATTTTTTCATCAGTTTTTGTTGATTCTTCAGAACATACTCAGTGGTTCAGAATTTCATTTCAAGTTCGTGAAATTGAACTTGATAGTCGAATTATTCTGTATAATTCAATGAGTGATTTTCCATATACATCAATTTCATTTTTTTTTTTCAGGATGACTGTAGAATATACGAACGAGTCTACTGGTGCTGTTCTCAAGATATCTCCTGTGGAAGGAGAAGATGAGGCAACATACAAATGTGAAATTACATATCTCGAAGTTATCGAAAACTGCGATGTAGTTCAAATTGTCAAGCTGAAGACACTGAGTAAGTTACCTTTGAATAATCTTCACTCAAAACGAGATAATTCATAATTGTAATTTGTGTCTGAAGTTATTTGGTTATATCGGATCTGAACACTATAACTTGTTTTTTTTGCCTTATTTTTGAGAAATATTTGTGTGAGTTGACTCGAAAATGAGTAGGAAATTAAACTATACTCCAATGAAAGTTAGCACCCAACATTTCTTATAAAACTTTTCAACATTTTGTCAATTCAAAAGAAACGATTGGTGAAAGTTCTGTTACGAAAAAAAAACAACAAGCTGAGCATTCTTTAAATTACTCGGTTGCAATTAAGGAATGAAGCTGACCTCAATAAATTTATCAGGTCATACGGATTGTATTTGGTTCTGTTTGTGTATTTGTGAAAATCAAATTTCCATACAAATTCAGTCTAATAGTTTTTGTGCATTAGTTTTTGTTATTTATTTCGGATCAGCTCGAACTAATCAAATAGAGACAATAAACTCCATGCTGGTAGGCTATGGTCGATGAAACCTATAGTATATAGTATTAAATTGATATAAATATTCATGAATTATATTAAGGTCATATGTCTCTTCTAGAATTCATAAAGATCGGATTTTTCATAAATTTTTGTCATTTGTGACAATATAATAGTCGTTAGTATATTTTTGAATGCAAAAGTTATACTAGGAAAAGGTTAAAAAATGTTCGTAATTTTGCAAAGATTGGATGTGTGTGATACTTAATGATTCTATTATTAATCCGTTGAATGTTGTGAAATGAAGAGCTATTGAAAATCAAACTGTTCACAAGCTGTGGTGAGTAGGCACTTTGGATGAATATTTGAGATGACTTTTTATAGATTTGGTATACGCATAGTGAAATAACCAGTGAGGCTGGGTCTGTTCACAAGAGCAATTTGGGAAATGACTGATTTTATCACTAGTCTAGTTTTTCAATGACAATAGTTCTGGTGGCTTTTGGTTAGATCAACAAAGTATATGAACTTATGATGCACTGTTTGGAACCTTTGGTTTAGTAATGAATATTACTGGAGTTTTTTCCCAACACCACATCGTGATTTTTAACACCTTGACACGTGTTTCGATCACCAAGTGATCATCTTCAAAGATGAAGATTAAAACAAGAAACTAATGCGAGCTAAACCTATTTATGCTATATAGGTATCCCATACAGGTGAACCATCCAGGCGTACCACCCATACAGGTATACCAACCTAAATATCTATTATTTTACAATATATGTTTATATAAAACAATTTTCAGTTGTATAAAAATTAATTTCACAATATCGCCTATCCAAATTCATTTTTGGAGTGTGTCCTTATGTAGTAATCAGTAAACCCAACATTATTTTATTTTAACAAGATATATAGTATGCTGTTTGGTATAGGTCCGTCATCGTTATTCACAATATTATTGTGTTTACTTATTTCTACACTCTCATAGGCATCTAGTTGCCTGTTGTTGTTAACTTGTCTAACTAATCTTAATGAACTGAAATCTATGGAATGGTTTTGTTGCAAAATATGATGGGTGACTACTGATTTTTCAGGTCTTCCATATTTTAAGTGTGCTATTTGTTCCTTATATCTTACTTTGATAGATCTTTTTGTCTGTCCATAATATTTTGCATCGCAGTCCTTACATTCAATTTCGTAAATTCCAGACTTTTTCGAATTCTCGACTTTGTCTTTTGGACTTCCCAAAAGGCTCTGTAGTGTATGACTTGTTTTAAAAACCACCTTCATACCTAGTTTCTTGAAAATATTTCCAAAGTTCCTCGTATAATGGTGGTATGGACTGAGATGTATTTATGTTGGTTTTTGTCCTTTCTGAAAGTCGAGATTTCGTTCATTCTTAACCTAAACTTCTTTTTCCTTAATATGTCATCTACAATACCCCTCAAGAAACCGTTAATGGCTGCTATTTCCTGTTTTGTACGTCTTTCTTTTGTGAACCTATCATATGTTAGAGGGAAAGTCAAAAGACGATGCACTAAAAAACTCAACACAGCATGTTTGTGCTATCCACAGTGATGTGAACTGTCAGGAATATACCTGTATGTGCTTGTTTCTTTTCTAAATATATCGTATCATAACCCTCCATATCGGCTCCTCATTACCAAAACGTCAAGAAATGGTAGTTGTTCCTTATTTTCTAACTCATACGTGAATTTTATTGATGGACATCTATTATTTAAAATGGAAACAAAGTCATCAATATTCAATTTTTTGGTATCGAATAACGCGAAAATATCATCCACATACCTTGGCCAAATCCTAGGAAAATACGTTTCTTTGGTTTCCATTTCGAATCTGCTCATGAACAGGTCTGCCAGGTAGTGGGACAAGGGGTTTCCCATGGCCGTTCCTTCCTGTTGTTCATGAAACAACCTTCTACCTGGAACCAATTTTGTTTCATACACAAATAAGTAAGAGAAACGAATTCATCGATTTCGTTATTATTGAAATTATTTTTCTCTACTAATTCCCTAAGGTATTGCAAGGTCTGTCGGATTGGGGCGCTAGGAAATGTGGAACCAAAATCTCACCTTCTTGCAGAACCACGTTTTTTGTACTAAAACTTGGTTCCGCAATAGACAAGGTTTCAAAATTCTTAGTGAGCCACTTTGCTATTTGGTAGGTAGGAGCTCCAATAGCTGACACGATGGGGCGCATTGATTTTCCCGGTTTGTGGATTTTTGGGAGGCAATATAGTTTCGACACCGTTGGGTGGGAAACTTGTAACTTTCGTTTCAGTTCAGGGGTAAGTATGTTGTCGTATTTCTTGAGGACATCTTGTACAAAGTAATAATTCTGGATTAATCGGACTACTACGAAAAGGTCAATACTCTCATTACTAACGGACCATATGCGAAATTGTCCAGGAACCCGTCACCAAAGATGATTGCCGAAGTAAAAGACGCCCTGGGAAACCCCTTGTCCCCCTACCTGGCAGACCTGTTCATGAGCAGATTCGAAATGGAAACCAAAGAAAAGTCGAAGTATTTTTCTAGGATTCGGCTAAGGTATGTGGATGATATTTTCGCGATATTCGATACCAAAAAATCGAATATTGACGACTTTGTTTCCATTTTGAATAATAGATGTCCATCTATAAAATACACGTATGAGTAACAGAATAAGGGACAACTACCATTTCTTGACGTTTTGGTAATGAGGAGCCAATGTGGAGGGTTAGAATATGATATATTTAGGAAAGAAACAAGCATGTACAGGTATATTGCTGACAGTTCACATCACTGTGGACAGCACAAACGTGCTGGGTTGAATTTTTTAGTGCATCGTCTTTTGACTTTCCCTCTAACACATGATAGGTTCACAAAAGAAAGACGTACCATACAGGAAATAGCAGCCATTAACGGTTTCTCGAGGGGTATTGTAGATGACATAATAAGGAAGAAGAAGTTTAGATTAAGAATGAACGAAATCTCGACTTCCAGAAAGGACAAAAACCAACATAAATACATTTCAGTTCCATACCACCAATATACGAGGAAATTTGGAAAGATTTTCAAGGAAATAGGTATGAAGGTGGTTTTTAAAACAAGTCATACACTACAGACCATTTTGGGAAGTCCAAAAGACAAAGTCGATAATTCGGAAAAGTCTGGAATTTACGAAATTGAATGTAAGGACTGCGATGCAAAATATTATGGACAAACAAAAATATCTATTAAAGTAAGATATAAGGAACACATATCACACTTAAAACCATTCCATAGACTTCATTTCATTAAGATTAGTTAGACAAGTTAACAACAACAGGCAACTAGATGCCTATGAGAGTGTATAAACGAGTAAACACAATAATATTATGAATAACAATGACGGACCTATACCAAAGAACATACTATATAGCTTGTTAAAATAAAATAATGTTGTTGGGTTTACTGATTACTACATAAGGACATTGCAAAAATAAATTTGGATAGGCAATATTGTGAAATTAATTTTTATATAGCTGAATAGTTGGTAATTTAGGTTGATTTAGGTTGGTATACATGTATGGGTGGTACGCCTGGATGGTTTACCTGTGAGGGATACCTATATAGCATAAATAGGTTTAGCTCGTATTAGTTTCTAGTTTTAATTTTCTTCTTTGAAGATGATCACTTGGTGATCGAAGCACGTGTTGATGTGTTAAAAACAACGATTTGGTGTTGGGAAAAAACTCCAGTAATATTCAAAGTATATGAACATGATCTGGAATGTGATGAAAGATACAGATGCCTATTAAACAATTCAAAGCCGGTAATGGTTCATTAAATACAATATTGTACTTTTTCTGCATATTTCACAGGCCACCCAATCCTGCAGTGACAAATTATTGGCGAAACGCAATGGAGTCAACATAGTTTTTCTCTGATGAGTTATGTCTTCTATTAGATCTTGTTTTCGAACATACGATATCGTCGTCACATTTGTTGTTGAGTAACTGAATGATCCGAGAATATTCATCAAGAGTTTGTAGAACTATTTTCCCTCATTGTGAACTATTTACAACTATAAATTTGGAGTCTTGACAAAGCTAAAACACTCAAGTTCTTCGCGGGCGCGAGAATGTTACTCGGAGGAGTCGAATTTCTGACACTCCTTTGATTTCTTACCGGTAACGGAACCGCAAGCGATACACACATAGTTCAAACGTCTCAGTTTATGGCATTTCTCACACCATTTATCGATATTTCAGACACCGGCGATATGTTATGCCTCTGCTCGAACTTCCTCTCCACGGTTTTCTTTCTACGTGGCGGTTTTTCCTCCTCATCTTCTTCTTCTCCTAGTTCTTCCCCTTCACGAAATTAAACAGCATCGCGGGGGCCTGTCGTTGCGGCGATATCTCGAAATGATTTATGATGGCATGCTGTTGCTGCAATAAATCGAAAAGAAATTTTCCAACGGTCCAATAGTTTGGTTATACGTTTTCGGAGGGCCGAAGTAGGAGGAATTATTTATTTGGCTTGTTATGCCG